TACTTATTCCCAATTTATGAGTTAATCACCCTGTTGATCAATGGGGGGGGAAGAACTTTGTGGTGAGAATACTTTGGTGACATGATGTTCGCACTTTAGATTTACGATTACTGGCATTTTTCTCCTTCTCTGTAGAGATACAGCTCAAGTATAAACAACACTGATGCTTTTTAATGCTTATGGTAATGTCTATGATTAAAGTTTGATATGGAGTGAAATTAAATGTCAGAGGAATTATTTCTCATTTAATTTATAATGAATATTTTGCCAAATGGACGCTCTTTGTATTGGAGCTTCTGCTTCTGGGCGCTTGCAGCTGTGGCCATGTTTATGCTGAGTATACTGCAGAGAATTGTGGGCTGGTTTTAGGTGAGTGCTTCAGAGTAGGCAGCCTGACGATTTAAATTCATCATAAGGGGCAATCGCTTTAATCACCCCTCTGCTTATCCTTCTAATCCAGAAACCTTAATTAGCTCCAGTCCCTCCAGTTTCCCACTAATGATGTCTTCATCCCCTCACAACCAGCTGCTAATGAGGAGAAACGGTTCGACTTAAACAGCCAGGACTCAACATTATCAACACCGCTTTACTGCTTTTATTTAGTCTTTGCTCGATTTCTAAAGGTAAGGGGAGGGGGGGGTTAAAAAGCCCAACTTCTAGTTCCAAAAATGTGACAAGATCATTTTGGTTTTGAATGCGAGCAGCTTATATGAGCCTATTAAGCAATCTTGTGTTCTGTCCCAGCTGTCGGTGATGAATGAGATATGCGGCTCCTTCCTGCAGTCACATCGAATCCCATCATTCAAAGCTCATTTCCACTCAAACGCTTCCTTTCTCCTCCGAGAAGCTGGAAGAATGCCGCACATCTGTGCATCTCTGAAGCATAACATCACCGACTCCGGTTCCTCCGTCGGTCCAGCTGTAGCGCTGCTCCCCGGCTTTCAGCTCTTTCTTCCTCCTCTCACATCTCGCCTCTAAATCACTCTATCCTCTGTCTTTCACAACTTAAATTCACTCCATTTTTAGAGAAAAACACACTGATGACCTTTAACTGTTTGGGATCATGTTTCAAAACTAGAAAAAAAATATTGAGTTTAATTATGTCCAAGTGTGTTAAAAACAACAAAAAACTGAATTAGAATCAGGATTTGGATTCATTATCCTCAACCTTATTTATGGGATCAAGTCATTTTAGTGAAGACACAACATGTTTAGAAGTTGTGTCAGAAGTTAAGGAATCCCAGCGTGGCGATAAATCTTCCCAGTTTGAGCCGTCTGGTATTTTCCCATAAAGCTAAATGATTTAGGTCAAATTTGTTTCCTCAGAGCAAACTGCTTAACTTGTTTTGTGAAGCGAAGGGCTGAGCAACAGCTGGATTCTGCTGGATCTGTTCAGCATCACTCCAGACAAAGCTTGGGAATCCGCATGATGAACTGGCGTTTTGGGGACATTGCATTGACTCTGCTCGGTTCCAAAACATGAACCCCATTCTGATTTGGAGAAAACCAGAGCAGACCAGCCAAGCTGGAGGTCACACACGGCTCAGACAAGAAGAATCATGTCATGATTGTGTTCTCTTAGGTCTAACAGCCCAGATGGTAACACTGGAGTGAAAGTTCGCAGACTGGAAGACATCCACCGTGGTTTGTGAGAAGTTTAAATGCTATAACACCAAACAATTAAAAGGATTTGTCTCCATCATTAGATACTCATCGACATTGGCTTCAGTTTTATTGTTTTAAGTCCAGTATTGCACTAGAGTATTTTCAGAGGGATGAATTTTTTGGTTTGTTTGTCTTGTTCATTAAGACACTTTTGCCTTGTTTTAGCAAACAAAAAAAGACATACCTAACTCAAGGGATGAAACAGCATCATTTCTACATATAGGGAGTGAGGAGTGGACAACATTAACACAGTATTGTATCACTAAGGGGAGGGAGCCAACTTGTAGTTCACAGAGTTTTGGGATTTTTTTGTGCTCAGTTTTCATTTAGCTTTCTTTGTATAACAGAGATGCATCTGTGGCAACATTGAACAGAAAAAACAAGTACTATGGTAACTGTTGAAAGTATTACATGAAAAATATCTAAGGTTTGACAGCAACAACACAAAAAATAGTAGAGCTCAGCAACGTTTATACAAACTGAAAAATCCTTTCAGAATATTGGCTTTTGGTGTAAAATTAGGTCGAATTTGAATTGTCCGTCATTAAGAAACTGTAACACATCTTTTAGAGCATATTGTGGAGAAGATAAAGGATATTTTTGCAAAACAATCTTAAACTGCACACACTCCTTTGTTTCTGCCATCAAATTCAAGCAAAATGAAAATCACTTTTCACTTTTTGCAGATAATTTACACATCCTCTCAACATTTTTAGGATTAGTGTACACTTTCTAATAAATTTCTTTGTGTGTGGTGGAGGGGGGATTAGCTTGTGAGTTGTAAAAAGAGGGCACCTAATTCATATTCAGCCTCCTATCTCATTTGGAGTGACCAGTGGTGAGATTGATTACCTTCGAAGAGAACTTTAGGTGAACTTCGGCTTCGTCTGCCAGGCTCTTCTTAAGCTGGGCCCAAGCCTCCCCCAAAGTCCTGAGCACAGATAGAGAGGGAGGGGGAGAAGTGTGCGTGTCGTTAATGCCCAACACAAAACCGGACCACACACACTATTTGCAGACACGTCAGACAGAAAAAAAGAGGAAGACAAAAAATGAAGATAGTGTTGAAGGCAGGGAGACACACACACACACACGCACTCAAAAGTCACCCTCACACAGATGGGGCTCACGGGCAGCCGGTGCAAAAGTTCATGCGCTCATAAACAAGCGGTAAATCTCGAGTGCTGAGCCGAGCTCCATGGCCAGTTCAGCAAATGATTAGGATGTGAGATAGGGTTCCTGTCTCTCCTACGACAGCATCTTCTCAGCACAGCTGCAGCCACTAACTCAGACCACAAGTGGTTCTGCTTTAAGAAGGCACGTCACTGGTCTTTTTTAATAAGCTCCATGCTTGGTTTGACCGAAAGGTAGAAAGACGCTCCGAGTTTGTTCAAACCAAGGGCTGTAAAGCAATCCCCCAGCAGGCAGGCGGTCAGAGACACCGGGCTTCAGGGTCCGCGGCGGGATCGTCTTTATGGGCGCGCGGGTCGCTTCAAAGACGGCCTCTGAATGGAAGCCATGTGTGGAATTCCCTCATACCGACATCCAAAACATTCCGACACCGTCAGAGGGAAGCTCTGGCACCTGCGACGCTACGCCATCGGAAAGGATCTAAATCAGCCTGAGCCGCTGGAATCACAGTCACAGGTTATTTCACGGCTTTTTGGACACGGTGAATGCCACCAAGAGAAAGCTTCATTTTTCACTCTTGAATGAGCGCTTCTGATTTTGAAAGTAAAACCACAAGCTTGTAAATTTGTGCTATAGCCAACAAGAGTATACCCACCATGTGCTTCATTCAGAATGAGGCTAATTTCTGTACACAACAATAGAAAGGATAACTGATTCCAGGGCACAAAAGTGAGTCAAAGAAGTTTAAAACTAGTATCGCATCCATTTGTTTTTGAATGATTATGAATAGAGAAATATGGCACTTTTTAACCAAGCTTTTAACAGCTTGGAAAGTATGTGAGGGGATGGGATTCTGTGGAAAAAGCTTGGTTTCTTTTTCAATATCTAGACAATAGAAAGTGAGGATTCGTTACCATGCAGAATACGTCCTCTACAATGGCAAAAGTGGTGAAGAGAGCATTTAAAATGGGACTTTGTATCTAAGGCCCAGTTAAACACTCACCACAAAAGCAGCGTTGGTTCTCAAACTGCAACCAAACGCCAAACGCTTAATGTTTAAAAGTGGGATGATACCCTTTTTCGATTATGTCGATGGTTGGAACTACAGCCAGATAATTGTTTGGTAACTGGAATTATGTCAGCTTCTCCTGTTTGTTGAATTTCAAAAAGTTAAACCTTAAAGTGCTTCATTGTTCTACATCTAAGTTCAGATGGTGACGTTGGATTTCTTGCTTTTCTTTGTTTAAGCTACTGTCTGCTTTCACATTTGCATCGCTAAGTTCCTCCTTTCTAGTATTTCCATAGTGCTTCTGCACATCTAGAGCTCAGCAGTCACTGACTCCTTGCTTTCCTGCTCCACATGTCGATGGATCCTTGGGCAAGACACTGAACCGCATGCTACCCAAATACCTGCCTGTATTAATGTTGCATGTAGTACAAAAGTGTTTCAGCAAGACTAGAAAGTCACTAAATAGACAATTAATTTATCAGTTGAAGAATACAAGAAACACTTTTAGATTTTTTTCTAAAATCTGCATATCTATTTGTCTAAGATTTCGATATTGACTCTGTGCATCTTGTTGGTGTAAAGCTGCAGCATCAGGACCAGGCTGTGTTACAGAGTGAGACAACGGCGAAAACAAAGTAAAAACCTTCATGCAAATGAGCACAGAAATGTTAATTGTCCAGAAGTTATCCAGAAATATCTATATTTCAAATAATTAAGGCAAAACCTATCCAAAACTACCAAAAACAAAGAAAGCAATATGTGAGGGGTCAAATAAAAATGTATATTATAACATAATAGCCATTTATATATATGGTAAATATTTTCCTATTTCCATGTACTGTTCACTTAAATCCTAATGTTAAGATTCTTGTTCGAAAAATTGACCTTTAGCGTGTACAGTGGCTGCTTCGTTCATATATCTGATACAGAGCGAGGTCGGTAGCTATCATAAAAAAAAGTTATCACATGCCCCATGGCTCCATCGCTACCAAACAAACAGCAAATTCAGGGATAAATAGTCGGCTGGTTCTGGGCTACGTTTGGTCAGATGGTAGGAACCGAACAACAAAACAGCGATTGTCCTGTCTGACAACAGAGCCGGGCTGGGGGAGAGCATAATGAAAGCACTGTGCTGCACTTTTGTGGGTGTGGGCAGGCTGAGCCGGCTGGCATAATCTGGATTCTATATGGGGCAGTTCCAGCCCACTTTCTGACACCGTGCTCATGTGAAGAGGACTAATCTTATTTATTTACAGCAAACACTTGAGTGGATATTAGGACTAGCTAAACCTTTCTCTCATAATGTATTGCAATTAAAAGCAATTCGTTTTATACTTTTAACAATACAAAACTCCTTTGCCTATAAAATTGCCGCTTGTTGAATGAATAAGACAAGAATAGCTTATTCTAGTCTTTTTGCAGGTGTATGAGGCACCGTAATCATTTTTCTGAGCTTTATGGTACTTGTTTATGTTGCATGTTGGACTCCCTCTGATCCTATTTGTGATTTTCCTGAACCGCTTCTAGAGGCATCGTTGTAGAGACGAGGGCATCTTGCATTGTTCTAATCCTCGCTTTTGGTCACAAGATGCAAGTAAGCCACAGAATTGGGCTGAGGAGCTCAGTCATCCAATTTAAATGAGTCATTTGAGGCAGGCAGTTGGTGAGGATGTCTCAGTTTTTAAGCAAGTCCAACTAGTGGGAGGTTCGGGGAGAGTACCAGAACAGACTGGTGGGATTTCTCCTCCTGGTCTAAGATTACCTTGGGATCCACCCAGAAGAAAGGGAAAGTGTCTAAAGTCAAGTGGATGTCCGAGTTTCCCTCCTCAACAATATTCCTTAGAGACTCAACAGCACAGGATGCAGATTGTCAACTGACCTCACAAAACGAGAACGTTTAATTTTATTCCAGTTTACATGTAAAAAAATAAATAAATAAATTGAGAAAAAAACACAAACAAAAACAAAAATGTAAAAAAACAAAACAAGCCAAAGCTAAATATTGTCGATAATATTTCAATAAATGTCGATATTTTCAACTTACTCTAACTGACTTTGACTTTTGAACAAAGTCTCAGAAATAGGTCTCAAAACTGACTCGTTTCCAGCTCTGACATTTTGCCCTGTTGCTATGTGGCATCAGCGTTTCCTTGTGGAATTTCTTAATAAGAGGACAGCCAACAATGCAGCGTACAGTCTGTGCAGCGCCTTGCTCTCAACAGGTCGTGTGCCTCTCCGTTTTGGGTTGCTTTCTATGTTCCTGTCTCCTCTTGGCGGGGCCAGACAAAGAGCTGCCCTCAGCATGGCGGCCCCTCTGCTGTCAGACAGCAGAAAAAAATAAGGCCTGGCTGCAAACTCTCCCACTCCCTGCAGGGTTTCCCAGCCCCTCTCGTCCACACAAACAAGCCTACGCGACCCTCAAACTCCAAACGCCATCCCTCCTCCCTCTTGTTTGGATGTGTGATGGCCCTCTCCTCGGCGCTCTGGGAATAATCAGCGGATGCCGCTGGATGGAGAAGATCAAAGCGCACGGAGGCTCCACCGTTTCACGACCTGGCCGGCGGGGCCCGGAGACCCAGACTCTCCACGGGGAGCCGCCAGTGGTCGGCTACTTGACTGGCTCACTCACCGCAGAGCCGTCTGTCTGAGCAGCTAATTACTCAGCTAAGTTCACTTCAGGGCAAGTTTACACCAAACAAACCACCTGGTAGACACCAAAGAATTTGGAACGTCTCAAATACTTTGCATCAAAAACGTTTAAAAGCCAAAACTTGAGTTTATTAGCAATAGAACATGTAGTTTTGGATAAACATATTGCATGCCGAACAATCTTGTGAGTAGACAATAAACAACTTTCTCCTTCTATTGCCAACTTTGAGACTTGAGTTACAACTATACAACATTTATGCTTTTTCTATTTAATGATCATTTTTATCTTTACAGGTCTTCATTTGGGCTGGGATAAAAGAAAAACTCTTGGCAAAGTATCGTATGAGTGGCACAGAATAAACTACATTCCAAGACTCCATGATGAGATAGCTTATGAACCCACCTTCAGCAGTAATATCTCAAAGTAATTGTTTTCAGTATGATGTTATCAGTTTCTCACAGAGCTGTGGAGGAATTTTTGGCCCCCACTTCTTAACTGCGTTGCATCAGTTCATTGAGGTCTGCGAGTTTAAAGTCCCACTACAGAAATCCAGTCATATTGAGGTCTGGACTTTGTCTGGATTATGGTTCGACTTTGACTATTTTCTTTTTCAGACATTCTGTTGTAGATTTGCTGCCACGTTTAGGATCATTGTCCCAGTTCCAGCTGAGAGCATGCCGTCAGACAGATGGACTCCCATTAGCCTGTAGAATACTTTGGAATACAGGGAAGTTGACGGCTACATTGATTGGAAGGTGTTTGGGTCCTGTGGCTGCAAACAACCCCAGGTCATAATCCTTCCACCACCGTGCTTGAAAGCTGGTGTTTGTGCTGATGTGTTTTTTTTTTGATCTGACCAAACATCTATCCCTTTTTCCAGAGCAGAAGTGATTTGTTTGGATGTAATTGTACAAAACTAGACTGTGCTGTGGGGCCTAGGCCGATTCCTCTTCTCACTCTGTTCTCCCCTTTTTTCTTTCGTGGCATTACTATCTTATATTCAGTGAACCAGCTTCAGACAAACTTTAGCTGTCAGAAAGATGGCCTTGTGTTTGACTCTACAATGCTTTGCCCACATCTTGCAGTATAACAAACCCCAAGATCAAAAATCTCCATTCCACTCTGGTTAGACCCAAACAATCCATACTTGTTCAGTCTTTTTCTAATTGTAACTGTCCCAATTTTTAAAATGCAACATGCTAAACTGAGGCCTGTAGATTCTGACATCAAGCTCCCCCAACACAGTCTGACCTTTGGGTGAACTTGCTGGGAAGACTGGCGACTGTTTTAAATTCTTTCCACTTGTAAAGAATGTTTCTGTAGCATGGCGGACTGACAATAGCTTGGAAATGAACTTTAAACCTTTTGCAGATCGATGAGTGGCAATTGATTTTCTATTTTAATACATTTATTACCAAGTTGACAAGAAAATATTTATTATATATTAATTTATATTAAATTCTTTTTTATATTAATTTAATTTATATATATTTAAAATGATTTAATTGTCCTATTTTTTAACAAACACAATAAGCACAGACAAGAATATCATAAGGCTCTCTACTTCTGGAGCAAAAGTTTCCCATCATTCTTATTTTTAGAAAGATGTTTTGATAATGGAACCTAAAATCATATCATTTAGGGCTCCACCAAATACAAAACGACGCCAACTGGTAGGTCTGGCGGCTTCTTAAATGTTAGTGTGTTTTGGGAGAGAAAATATTGATTCATGCAGGAATGTGTGACATGCTCCTGTGAGATGTGTGGGTGCAGACGGTTAGGTGTGGGCTCCCCCCTTCGCAGTCACTCACCCTTCTTCCTGGCCTGCAAGGGGGATCTGGGAAAGCTTGGAGAGATTCTTGGCGTACTCTTCTTCTATCTTTATTCTGAGAGGGAAGTAAGAGAGCACGATTACAACACAGCTTTTGTGCAACTCCCTTCCAATGTGCATTTCCTCTGTTGTGCAACACAGTGATGTGCATAAAAGAGCAAAAAGAAACTAAAATAAAGAGGGGGGGGGTTGGTGTTTTTCAATGACTGCTCCATGGTTTACATGGCAACCTGGGCAGAAGTAGAAAGAAAAAAAAAAGAGAGAAAGATGGAAGATTACAGAAAAAATACCTTTCTCGGATGAACTCGGCCATCTCTTTCTGCATCTGTTTGCCCCTCAGCTGTTTCTGCAGCAAGACCTCGAATCCAGTGATGCAGCCGTTTCCCTGAGGATCCCTTTTGTCAGCCTACGAGGTTAAGACAAGGAAAGAGTTAGCAGAACAAACACACGAGGAGGACAGAACAGTGCTGAAATCCACAGGGGCGACGTCATATAGATAACAGAAGCTTTAAAAGCCATATCAGGCTGGTCTGAAAGGTGTATTTCAGGGGCGATAAAAACACCACCGGCCGGGGGCGCTAGTGAGCAATGGAGGAGTAGGCAGCGTTTCCCTGGAGCTCCTGCAAATGCATAAATATATTCGGTACTAAATCGACATTTGGACAACTCTATTATAGATTGGGAGAGAGAAAAGTCTAGTGTTCATTTAACTGCATTAGGACATGAAGAAAACAAGTTTGAGGATGCATGCTTCCAACAAGGACAAGAAAGCGAAAGAATCGGGCTCAGCCGCCCCGGATTCGCCTGAAGGTAGCTCCCTGATGGCTAATGCTACCATCCTAGATGCTATAAACTCTCTCCGCACAGAACTACAAGCCACCAAGTTCGAAATTTGTCAGACAATTGACACTCGCATCGAAGAAGTGTCCGCCACTATTAGAGGAGAACTCCTCACCCTCAAGACCGAGACTCAAAATGCTATCCAAGTCCTGAAAACGTCCAACGAACAACATGGCGCAACCATTGCCGAACTTGAACGAGCGGCCACACAGTCAGCAGATGCCATAACCAAGCTAGAGTCGGAGGTAAAACGTCTACGCACAGAAACGAATCAGCTAACAGAAAAATACATGGATCTTGAAGGAAGGTCCAGACGACAAAATATACGGATTGCTATGTTAAAAGAAGGGGCAGAGAAAGGCGCAGAACTGAACGTATTCGTCTCACAGCTCCTCAAAGACGTGCTGACTCTGGATGACTTACCGCTGGTGGACCGCGCTCACAGAACCCTGCGAAGGCGCCCAGACGACACGGGACCTCCTCGGGCGTTGGTGGTGAGACTCCATTATTACCGCGACGTTACAACGATCCTCCGGAAGGCCGTGACTCAGAGAGACCTCGCCTACCGCGGACAGAAGATCCACATCTTCCCTGACTTCACCCCCGAGATCGCGAAACGCAGAGCTGCATTCAACGGTGTCAGAGCACTTCTTCGGGACAAGCCGGGAGTTCGGTATGGACTTTTATACCCCGCAAAGCTGAGAGTGACTTTCAGAGGAACAGAAACAATGTTTACAGACGCGAAGGAAGCCCAGAAATTCGCGGAGCTCCACTTTGGTACGGGTGGAGGCGATGCAGATGACCCCGTGGCGGACACCTAACGAGGATGTGGAGTGGCTGGATTCTGGTAGTACTCAATGTTGGACTTTTCTGGGATGTTTATCCAGCTAATTTTATATAATGTTTAGAATCTTCATTTTGTTTACATAATTAGGTGCCTTAAGTTTTGTTGACAATCTGAAGTGGGCTGATAGTTATAATAAATAGGTAGCTTATATACCTTGATATATGTTTTTCAGACCATTTTTTCTTTCTTTTTTCAACCGTTCAGATGTTGGTTTGGTGCTTGTATTTTATATTCTTGCAGAGCTTTTTCAACTTCTAATTAGGAGTTAGTAGTAAGGGAAGTTGTTAGTTAAATAGGTTAATGTGTCTTTGTTGTGTTAGTGTTTTGGTTATCTTTTCCTTTATAACTTCCTTAGAGGGGTCGCGCCTTACTATGCAGATTCTTCTTAGTATAGGCAAGACAGTGGGTATTTTGTTTGGGGTGGGCTGGGACTTATATATGATGTATAATCATCCTTTTTACACTTATGAGGACCTCTATACTCTCTTTCATTCTATTCTGAGCTATGCAGGTTAATACAACACAAACAAAGAAAGGCGGACAAATTACCTTGGTCACATGGAATGTTAAAGGTTTGAATAATCCTGTTAAGAGGGGTAAGATATTAGCACACCTAAAAACACTGTCCAGTGATGTAATTTTCCTTCAGGAAACTCACCTTAATAGGAATGAGCACACAAAACTGAGATGCAGGTGGACAGGGCAGGTTTATCATTCTACTTGTGCAGTTAGAGCTAGAGGCGTGGCAATATTATTCAAAAAAGGTACACCTTTTACCCATAAATCAACCATATCCGACAGGGAAGGCAGATATTTAATATTAGTAGGAAAATTGTACTCTGTTCCTATAATTCTGGTCAATATATATGGCCCCAACATAGACTCTCCACTTTTTTACAAACATGTTTTAGCCCAAATACCTGACATCTCGCAGACCAATCTAATTATTGGAGGGGACCTGAATCTTGTTTTAGACCCATACTTAGACCGCTCGTCAACACGTAGAGCATCGGCCTCTAAGGCTAGTATTTTCCTTAAGGAATACTTAAATAATTCTAATTTGTTTGATAGCTGGAGGATTTTTAACCCTCAAGGGAGAGCCTACTCATTCCACTCAAATGTTCATAATGTGTACACACGAATCGATTATTTAATGATAGATGCAAAATTATTGCCCTATACTAGTGAAGTGAAATATCACAATATAGCAATTTCAGACCACGCCCCACTCTCTCTAAATTTACAATTAGATCATTTGAACCAAACTGAAAGAACATGGAAATTAGATCCACAACTATTGAAGGATCCAGAATTCTGTAAGTTTGTGAGAGAGCAAATTACGTTTTTCTTTGAAATGAATGACCTTCCGGGAACGTCTCCTTCAATACTGTGGGAAACTATGAAAGCCTACTTAAGGGGAGGAATTATATCTTTTCGAGCAGCAAAGAGGAAAAAGAACCGTGCAGAATTGGTGGACTTAGAGCAACAAATTAGGCGTCTGGACAAGGATAATGCTACGCAGCCTTCCATAGAAACTCATAAAAAAATTCTCTCACTGAGGTACAAATACAATCAATTATTATCAGACCACATTAGTAGAGCTTTCATTTTTACTCAACAGAAATATTTTGAATTTGGGGAAAAACCTAATAAGTTATTGGCTAGACAATTAAGGAAAATGGAAAGTGACCGCACAATTAACAAAATTAAATCAGAAAATGGAGAAGTCTTAACCTCACACAAAGACATTAATCATAGATTTAAACAGTTTTATGAATCATTGTACTCTTCCAAGGCTGTGAAAGATGATTTAACTATACAGACGTTTTTAGATAGCTGTAATCTCCAAACTTTAACTCAGGAAGACAAGAGCTCTCTTAATGCAAATCTCTCATGCATAGATATTCAGGTTGCTATCAAATCACTGAAAAGTGGGAAAACAGCTGGTCCTGATGGATATACTGGGGAATTTTATAAAGAATTTAGCGACCTATTATCACCTTATTTGCTAAAAATGTACACCCAAGCAAACTCAGATAATATCCTACCGCCTACTATGAGAGAAGCCACAATAATACTAATACCAAAAAAGGATAAGGATCCTGAGGAAGTAGGTAACTACAGGCCAATTTCACTATTAACCTATGATCAAAAGATTCTAGCCAAAATTCTAGCTAATAGATTGACTCTATTAATGGATAAACTAATCCACCCCGATCAGACGGGTTTTATACCAAACAGACACTCTTTTTTTAATTTGCGACGTCTTTATAATGTGATTTACTCTCAGAAAGAGGAAACTCCTGATTTGGCTATCCTTTCCCTCGACGCGGAAAAGGCTTTTGACCAGATAGAATGGCCCTATCTTTTTGCAACCCTGAGAAGATATGATCTTGGTGAACACTTTGAAAAATGGTTAAAAATCCTTTATCATAAACCTTGTGCTAGAATTGTCACTAATAAGACACTATCTCCTGCATTTCAATTACATAGGGGCACCAGACAGGGCTGCTCGCTCTCACCCTTACTTTTTGTCTTAGCCCTAGAACCCCTTGCTCAATCAATTCGTGCCAACCCGCTTGTGCAAGGATACATTACTAAAGGGACTATAAACAAAATTTCCTTATATGCGGATGATATCCTATTGTTCATAACCAATCTTCAGTGTACCATACCAACGCTCCTAGACACAATCTCTCAGTTTGGGAGGTTTTCTGGTTATAGGATTAACTGGTCTAAGAGTGAACTGATGCCAATTAAGCTAAAAGACTCTTCGATCTTGGAAAGTATGCCATTTAAAATTGCTAATGATAAGTTCACCTACCTTGGAATAGAGATTACTAGGGACTTTAATTCACTTTTTGAAGCAAACTTCTCCCCCCTTATGGTGAAGCTAAAAAATAGCATCCAGTTTTGGAAATCTCTTCCCATTTCCCTAGTGGGAAGAGTCAATGCAATAAAAATGGTTTTTCTCCCTCAGATCCTTTACTTGTTTCAAAATATTCCCATCTTTTTACCTAAGAATTTTTTTAAGAAACTTGATTCTATAATTGTTCCATTTCTGTGGGACTATAAAACACACCGAATTAGCAAAGCTCATCTCTGCAAGGCAAAAGTAGAGGGCGGACTGTCCTTCCCAAACTTCTCATTTTACTATTACTCTTGTACGCTGCGCACCATTACAATTTGGTTAGATCGTAATCTTACACAATCCAATTGGATCACAATGGAAAAGGAAGACTGCAGCCCTTATGAAATTAGCGCTCTTATTCTGTCACCCACAAGTACAGACACCTTGGCATACAACAATAACTGCATCATTCACAGTACTATACGTATTTGGAAACAGATAAAATCCCAGTTTGGTATTGAATCTATTTCTACCTTATTACCAATAGCAAAGAATCCTTCATTCGTCCCCTCCACTTTAGATTCAGGTTATACACAATGGAAAGATTTAGGTATCAGGACTATTGGTGACTTGCTGGTGGGTGGTAATTTTGCCTCTTTCTCTCAACTTCAGGCCAAATTTGGTCTCCATAAACACAATCATTTTAGATATCTACAGGTCAGAGCATATGTCAAAAAACACATGCGCACTTTAGAGAATATACTACCTAACGAATTTGACGAACTCTTTAAGCTGGGTGGTGGAGAAAGACATCTAATCTCCCAGATTTATAATGTATTATTATCCAGCTCTTCGCCGTCCATGCAAGGCCTTAGATCAGGCTGGGAGCAGGAATTAGGAACGGAGATAAGTGACGAACTTTGGAAGGCTGCACTAGAGAATATTCACAAGTGCTCTGCCAATTCTAGACACTGTCTTATTCAATTTAAAATTATTCACAGGCTTCATTACTGTAAGGTGAAGTTGCATAAAATTTTTCCTAACACATCCCCACTGTGTGACAAATGCCATATTGCAGAAGCTACGCTTCTCCATTCTTACTCTTTGTGTACAAAATTAACCCCATTTTGGTCTGGCATATTTAAAATTTTATCAGATATGCTCTGTATAGAGTTAAGGCTGGACCCACTTCTGATTGTACTCGGAATTTCTGTTCAGCTTTCTCAATTTAATAAATATCAACGGCAATTATTATCTTATGCCTTTATCATAGGAAAAAAGCTAGTGCTGATGTTCTGGAAAAAAACAGAGGTTCCATCTGTTAAATTGTGGCTGGAGGAACTGGTGAGGCTCTCTCATTTGGAAAGAGTACGGTTTTCATTAGCAAATAACTTAAAGCGATTCAACAGAACTTGGCAACCCCTTCAGCAATATATTAATAACCCTATTTGAGGATGATTTGTTTTGGTTATTGGTGTGATCTGATGTAAGTCCCAGGAAAAGGGGAGGAGGGTGGGTTGGGGGAGGGGAATGTCCTTATTTTTGTCACTTTTGTCTTGTTTTAATTTGGTATTGTCTTTATGTTGTATGTTCACATAAAAAAAAGAAAAAAAAGAGAACAAATATATATTGTTGAGGTTGTAATTCTCATGTTTGATTTCTCAATAAAACAGTTTGACAACAAAACACCACCGGCCAGCCTCCGCTTAGAAATGACATCACCAGCGCAATGTGCTAAAACCTAGTTCGACCAAAATGTGTCTTAACTTCGGATTAGCAGGACATGTTGACCACACCATCTTTATATGCAGTCTGTAATTAAAACACAATATTATGGCTGATAAACCTGCACGGAAAGTTAAACAATTAAAAAAGAAGGAGAAAACAAATCTCTGTGCACATCCAAACCTGACACCCTATCCCCCCCTCTCCCTCTTTTTTTGTGACTGCTTCCACCACACCTGGTAGAGATTACACAGCGGGGGTGAGAGATGTCCAAACAGAGCAGCAGGGGCCAGCTGGCTCCCTGCGCTCCACACCGCTTACATGCGCTGCCTCGTCCCGCTATGCTGGGAGCTGGATCTTATCAAAGTCTACCCCGATTCTCCGTTTGCATTGCAGCCAGGACAAGAGAAATGTGAAGTCGTGGTGTAAGATGGAAAGGATCCGCTGTTGTTGCTGTTCTCAGAGACTTCCTGGGATGTGCATTTAGTGTCAAAAGCGGCAGGATTGTTTAATCTGAGAGTTTTTTTTTAATTACTCATATATATGGTGGTCTTATTTCTGCCATTTTGACATGTAAGTCTTTGCCGCGACACTGAATGATTTTCTATCCTGCATTTTCCATATACCAGCATAGAGATGGAGATGTGGGTGTTTGCTCCTGGGTATATTTATAGATTCCCACAAAATGGACCAGGAAGAAGTTGGAGTCCAAGTCAATGCAGTGTTAGGATCGTGAGAAGTTTTTTTGTAGCAGGGCTATAAATAATGAAGAGTCGAGAGCAGCTGTTGTTTGTGCGTGTCACCTGCACCACTCGCTACTTTTTTCTGATGAAATTAGCTGCCAGCCCCCCCCCCACAGCGTTAGCTAACTTTCAAACATTCAACACTGCACCCTGAATGGAGCTGGATTTGCTGGTAATCTCTGGCTCGGCCAGTCATGGCCTACTGCCCTCACTGCCCACCATCATACTGGATGTGCAGGGTTGGTAATAATCTGAGGCAAGGTGAGACTAGATCTGAAATGCTAACATTAGAACCTCAGTCTTTGTCTATTTGGGCTGAATTTTAAAGAGGAAAATAAGATCATTCCAGAAGAATCAGACAATATGAACACGCCGCTCCTCTAAAAACATTAGGAAACATGTAATTTAGGCTAAAAATGTTTAAACAAATGTCTAAACAAAAGTCTAAACAATCACCAATTTTGTTTCCATTCAACATTTTTGCTGATCTATAGAGATATTTTGGAAACCGTGTAAAAGAAAATGTGAATCAGAAATGTTTCCATTGAGTCATTTGACCATAGTAAGCAAGACTGCCCAATATTTCCTGAATTCGGCCATGTTACTAGTAGCTGGTATGTCATCAGAAGAAACAAACAACAACTGAGGTGAACATCCACAAGATGAAAACAAACAGGACTTTATTTCCTCTCTGGGGATATCCATGTTATATTATGATCAGATACAGATTGTTAGGCTCCTGGGGTTTGGTTGTATTCTGGTTTGTTTTCTTTTTTTCTGGTTTGTTTTCTGTGTTGTCTTAGTTTCCCTGTGTTACTCTTAGCTTCCTGTGTTTTATTTTAGATTTCTTCTAAGTTTCCTGCGCCTCTCTGTTGCCTCAGTTCCCCCCTGTTCTGGTATTCAACTCAACCTACTCCATCTGTGCTCCCTGGGTAACCTGCTTTTCTTCCACAGATAACTCATCCCTCTATATATATATATATATATATATATATATATATATATATTTGTCATTTCTGTCATTCCCAGACTCTTTCCATGTTCTCAGCACCTGTTATTCTGCCCTGTCATGTTTCTAGTGTTGGTTTGGTTTGCTTGTATACCCCTGGTTTCAAGTTCTGTTTTGTTTTGTTATCCAGTTAAACCTTTTTGTAGTAGTTGTAGTAGTTTAAATAAAATGCTGTTTTTCTTGAGTATCCTGATCCCCCTTTGTTTTTACCCTGGGTTCACCCCTTCACCACCACTGGCAGACCATAACACGGATGGTGCTACCGAAAGCTTCTTTTTCCATGTCTGAGTTTTTTTTACATGTAGCAGCTCAGATAATCCTTTTTTATTTTTTAAACAGGCCTCTTTTTAAGGATCTCAGCTTCTTTTAGCCTATTTCCTACAGTGAATATCAGCCTCTATGCAGATGACAGTCTGATTTATGGTCCATCCTGACTTTGAACCAGTCATATTAGACTCTAAATTCACTTGCTCGCCTTTTCCTTCCTCATGGAGGCTGAAGCAATCTACTGCTTTGGGGCAAACTTACCCAGAAGTAGTCGCAGTAGCTCCATTCGTTTGGTTTCAGCAGCTGTTGTTCGGGCATGCAGGCCAGTGACGGGAAAGTCACACAGTTAATCTGCGGGGGAGAGGGAAGGTTTGCTTAATCGAATACATAATTGGATCGTAACTTGTGGGTCTGATGCCACCTTTCGAGGCAGTGTCTGAGCTCCGTGCGCTGGCTCACACACACGTGCACACGCATCAGAGCTGATATTTAATACAATCTGCACTCCGTTGCTTTGGCAACACGGTTCAATATCTGCAGCTCATAAGGAGCACAACAAACTACAGTAAACATTTCCAATTGAGTCAAAATTGCTCGCTCTCTTCCCTCTGTCTTCGTACAGTGTTGTCAATTCGGATCATTTATGGATCTCTGATCTTTCTGGCCTGGGTTCTTTTTCCATTCAGCACTCTCAGCACACTCAACACTCATTTGTCCAGCACTATCAGCAAAATGGAGTCACAAATAATGCTTTTAATTATCCTGAGGCAGATAATTGTCAGCAGAAACGATCATGAACGTGCAGGCCTCCAAAACTCCATTACAGTCTGCACAACGCCTTTACGTTCTTTCTTTAAACTTTTACACTGGTAGCAAAGGAAGAAAGAGGACTAAGTCATAATTCTCCGGTTTGAGAGACGAAATGACAGGAAACTCTGGCAAGACATTACCTCTACTATGATGTAATTAGATCTAATGACCATGAAACAAAGTCTTTTTTACATAATTTCGAAGACAAACAATCATAACTCAAATCTTATCCCTGCATATAAAAATGAAGAAGGCTGTCTCGAAAATTAAGGGTGAGCTGACGGAGAGATGTAAAGTTTAATTCCATGGTGAAAAAAGCAGCTTTATCTTCTGTCGCATTCAATTAACATCCGGGGATGAGCCGACTGCAGGTAATAAACAGTTCCCATTTAAATGGCCTCAGTGTCTAATGCTACCGCCTCGTATTTCAGGGGAAACTGATGAATGCAGTCCAGTCCTGGACAAACATTCCTACTGAAGTGGGAGGAGGAAGAATCAAAGGTCTCCATTTCCAGCCTGTGTCGGGCTTATTTGTCTGAGGAAAATCACTGCAAATCCACAGTTTGACAGTTAATCGGATTTTACCCTGAGCTTCCCCGCTTCCTCTGGTGAAGATGCGAGCACGGTAACTCCTTAGAGCATCCAATAAAAGGCTTGGTCTGTTCCGTTTCTGGCCACACACACACACAAACTGTGTGGGGAGATTAAAAAGCCCATATAGGCTAAATTTTCCATTTATAGCTCATACAGCTGAACTGGAAGCCTCTATCAGTGGTCGTACTGACCTCCCAATTCTACAAACGGCCATTGGACATTTAGACAAGCTTTCTTTTTGGAGGGGTAAGATACATATCGTGCCATCTGACACTGATTTGGATGTTTGTGGCAGAAACAGAAGGAGGAGATAATGGCCGTAGCTGATGAGGCATCAGTTTTACACATGGAGCTAACACCATAACATCCTAATCAGTGGTTCTGTTCTCATTCAACTGATTCTGCCAGACACAAAACATTCAGCAACATAATCACTAACAAGCTACTTCCCTCACAAAACATGCCTCAACACAACTGCTAACTATGGCTAAGTAACATCACAAACCTGGGGCTGGCATATTTCCATATTATTCTACTGGAAGCTTGAATTTCTTATGAACTCCTTTCACCTTTTAGTAACCAGCTCTGTTCTTAACATAGGCTGTACCCAGTTAGCTGTCATTATTTCTCACTATGCCAGTTAGCAAATTATCTAAGGTGCATTAGCAATAACGCAGAGGTGACAGATACATAACTTTTTCACTCCCATAAAAAGATGTATGGGAAATGCTTAACATTTTAAGGGGATTACAGCTCTTTGTCAAGAGCAGAAGAACATTGTGGATTCCAATCCATGTAAATGCCTCTAAAATTAGCAAAAATGATCAAATCATTGCACACTAAAAACCAGAGTAGCTACCCATATTATCATACAATATAATGCATAATCTTATGCATAACAGAAGGCTTACATGGTTTTAAAAATAATAAAATGGGAATAAAATGGTAACTCTTTAAAAAACTTTAAAAGAATTCGTAAAAGTGTCAGTTCTAACTATAAAATGCCTATATTCTCTGTAAAAAAAAAAAAAAGGAAAGCGATGTTAACCATGGCTCATTGGACCATTGGCAAATACTATCAACAACAGTTAGTTAAAGTTCAGCTGTATTTCCTCTCTTTCTCCAGTGTTTTCTGTCATGACCATCTGCTCATCATCTGGTTGCTATGGAAACTTTTGTTGTTGTTTTTTTTTCAAATGGAAAGTGAGAGAAAATTCAATCCTGAGCCAATAAAAGTCTGAATATTATCCATGACCTTCGAGCAGCAGCACCTCTGCTGTTTATCGTGCGTGAGGCCAAACAGGATGCAATGACCTGACGACTGGAGAGAGATCATCTGGACGCTTGATAGGATGATGTCACTATTCACTGGCATACTATCCACTGTAAACAAGCACCAGACACTGCTCTTGGAAGTAAATAGACAGGAGAAAAAGATAGACAGGAGAAATATATAATGTGCTGCTATATAAGGAGTAAATGGTTCTGCTACCCTCACTGAACTTTTCATTTAAATCCCACATAAATCTAAAGTTTTGCATCCTCTAGGGCCCCAGCCCTTGGCATCCGGGGACGGGTTCGCGTATGAGGAGCAGTTTCGGTCAGATGCCATATTTACCGTGACCGTGGTCTCCTTGTGCTGCTTCCTGGTGGGCGATGTGGATCCCGGGCTCTGCAGAGAGAAGAAGGAGGCTCCGTCAAAACCCCCGTCCTCTGCGTCAGACATGGCTGCTGAGCATGAGGCGCGCGCTCAGCCCAGAGGCACGCACGGTCCGCGCTGTTTGCCTGGCCAGCGCCTGACTGCCGCGCTCTCTGCTCCCGCTGTTGCTGCTGGTTCGGTCGCCTGCGTGTGTGTGTGTGTGTGTGTGTGTGAGAGAGAGCTGTGAAGAGTAGGGAGGATAGTTCTGCAGAGCAACGCATGATTTGCTTTTCTTTTTTTTTGGACTGTGGATCTCTATGCGAGGGAGTGTCTGCGTGCATCTCAACAAAGCTTAGAATAGGAAAAGGCTGTAGGATATGAGTATAAACTGGGGAGAGAAAAAGTAGAAATGTGTCGTGTTCTTTGCCTGATTTTCTTCCCATAACATAAAAAAAAGAATGTAAAAAACACAAAAAAAACGAAAATATCAAAATCTCATTGATTCACAGACATATGTAGCATAGTTTTTTCATTAAGAATAAGGTGTAGAGAAGAAATGCTTAAAAAAAATACGAATATGTTAAAAAAAAATGGGTAAGAGTGGGCGAATCCTGTATAAGTTCACCCTGAGTTCGGCCTGGCCAATTATGATCAGGGGAATAGATACTGTAAGAGGGAGTAATCAGCTTTAATTGTCATTACCCTGTCTATTAATACTAAGATGGGAAAAGAGACAGGCGGCTTGTATAGGTAACATTGAGGATAAATTATATTATGAGCCAATATCATACCGGTAATCTAACTTCCACGGCTGTATGTGGATGTAATAACCTGAGATGCTGAGTCCTTTGTTTCATATTAGGTTGCCTTAATTGTCATAATATTTCTCAAGACTTAGGGGGACTGAATAGTGAGCTTGTATCCTACATTAACCAGTATTTTTTTCCAAATGACGTTAGGTACTTAAGGTGGCGATGTAGGTGCAAAAATGATAATCATTTCAGAACCCCCCCACCCACCTCATCCCCTGACCTTTGTCAGACATTTTTATTGCTACTGACTGTGGAAAACCAAAAGCTGTGGTTAACATCTTTAGCTCTCACCCTATTAGCAGTACATCAGAAACACTGTCAACTAGCACTTTAAAAGGAGCAATTTACGAAGAACTTGGTAACACATAAAGTAGTTTCTGGTCGTTTCTATGATCTAATAGCTACGAATGCTAGTAAAAATAGAGGTATGGTGGCCTTCCAACAGGGAAAAACTGTGGAAGCGCAGCAGAAGCACAGAAGAGAGGGACAAAGAAGGTCCATAAAGGTAGATGTTTTTAAGTTAGTTTGACTTTCCCACGTATTACCTCAAAACTGAATATCTGACTACAAAAATCTAAGTTGGAAATAGTTTCAGAGCTTCTTAAAGCCTCTGAACAGTCATGCTGTCAGACTTGACTGAGTCCCGTAATGTTTGTTAGTTTTGTTTTCTCACATGTAAGACAGCGGAAAAAAGCTGTGTGCAGCATCTCTGACTCTAATTTCCTGTTCTGCTTTGCCTTCAGCTTCCATCCTACATGATTGGAACTGAGTCACATTGTCATGTGCTTTTTCAGTGATTCATCCATTTACCTGGACAGGAAATGCACATTAATCTGAACAAATTAAGATGGCTAAAGGATTTTTGGAGATAAAAGCTTTGCAGGAAGAAATCATAAAAGGTAAACAGATAAGGTTATATAAAGATGCATTTATAGCAAGACGCAGAATCCATCCGGGCTGCAAAGTGATTGTTAAAGTAGGATTTTAAGCATTAACACAAAAAAAACAACAACAATCGGTGGGTTTTAGCATTGTTCACATTTCCCAACATGCAACCAAAAGCCTCCACACACATCCATGATTTGAGGCGGCTTTTTTTGTTCTCTAATATTAGGGGAAAAAGCAGCTTTACCTGGGGCTCTGTACTGCTCTTCCGAACCAAACTGTTGTGCGAGAGCTCCACATGATGCAAGGGACTCCCACCTGAGTGAAATCCATTCACTAGAGAAGCATGTGAGAGAGACATGGACAGAAAAAAGAAGACCCATTTCACAAAATAGTTTTTGAAGCTTGAATTAGTTTGGACCTCTGACACAATTTATCTGGAAGAGTTCAATCATCCAGAGCAGACATGTGCCTTATTTAATAGGACTTGTTAATACCAGTTATAGATAAATCATTTTTATGTTAGCATGGAAAGTGGCCAAAGTTTTAACTTATTATGTTCTAATAATGAATATTAAAACTATTAATATATTTTTGTCAGGGCACAATACAAATAGTAGTAGTGTTTACAGCCAACGTGAATTGAGATTCATACCTATTTTAAGTTAATTAATCTAGCTTACACTAAACAACATTAGGACCGAACATTAGAAATCTAACATATAATGTATTAAGAATTTTTTTGGCAATTTATACCAATTGTTTGAGGTGAAATTGAAAAAAAAAGCCTTTTGGTCTCTAGTTAAAACAGATACGTTGACCAGATTCCATGTTAAATTCCAGATTCCATGCTGAAGGCAGACACACACCGTTTGGGCTCATTTGCATTGTATGGAGAGATAAAAAGTAGAAATCTTGTATTAAGGAAGACTTGAAACGGCAGTCCAGAGGGAAGCGTTTCCTGAGGTTTTATGTGAAAATGTGAGTTGTCACTTTCTCCACACAAACTCCGGCGCTTTTTGTGTGGTTTGCAGGGAGTCACTTCCCTCTGGGCATAATCAGGATACAAGTTGTTTAGAAGGAGTGAGCTAAATGAATGAAGCCTGCCTCCAGAGAAACATCTAAGAAACCTTACTGTTTCTCTCTGTGTGCCTGTCCTCAGGAACGGGGCCAGCAAACAGACAGAGGAGGCCTTAGTTCTGCATTTCGAGGCTACAGATAAAGTTAGTCACAGGAAGTGTCTGTGTGTGGTAAGTATGAGCGGGTGCTTTGTGCCACGGTGGAATTCGAAAAGAATTCCCAGCCCCAGGGTACTGACGCTGGAGGAAGTTGAAATGAAAGAGGCTGAAAGGCAGAGATACAAATAAAATACCTGCTGGCAGAGAGTTCTTGTGTCGGAATGAGTTCTTGGGCGTCCCGGGTGCGCTGGACGGCCTCTCCCATGTTGTTTCTGATGGAGAGTCAGAAAGGAAGAGGGGAAACAAAAAAACAACTGAGATTGGGAAATGGTTGGAACTATTTGTGGGCAGAAATAAGAAGAAGTGATCCCCATCCACAGATGCACACTTGGCATTTGTCACTGTCGGCAATCAAATCAGCAGAAAGGAAATATCATCTGCACTTTTATACTTTGTTCTGAAATCTCTAGTTATACCATAACATAGTACGATAAACATCTTTGACCGTGCTTAGTCAATTAAATTACTTTTACTGGTCACAGGTTTGCTAAGTTGTCTCTTTAAATAAGCAAACCTAGTGGATAAAATTAATATTAGCACAAAAAAAAAAAAACAGCTCTTCAACTGATACAAATGCATCCAAGTATCACCACTGAGTGTGAGACTTGCATAATTCTGGTGCTCGTTTCTGGCTACGATTTGGTGTTAGCACAAATGTACATTAAAGACAAAAAAAGCAAACATTTTAAAAAGCAGAGGACTTTATTTTTCCTGGGCACTGCCTGAAAAAACATCCTCTATATAAGTGTCCATAAAGAGAATCGGAGGTAAAATCAAGGGCAAAATACCCAACAGCCACCAGATGCTGCACCTACTTAGCCAGTACTGGGCCATTTAATGGACTTTCAAATGTCTTTTGGGGGATGCAACAGGTTCCATTCTGCCTAGTGGGATAATATGCACTTCATTTTTGTACTGTGTGTTCTACAATCGAGTTAGATGAGAAAAAAAAGCATCCATAAAATTCTTTTTAATACACATAAAGTGCCTGTTTCAGGTGGTCAGAGTAGTATGGGCCATCTTTACTGTGAAATATTATCTAATAGCATATAGATGCCAACAGATGGATCTACCTTGGTAGGATGACCAAGGTAGGTGTGTTTAAATGCAAAAAGAGTCTACATTCTAGAAAAAAGGCTCACTTTGTCCCTACACTCATGGGCATTGGAGCCTTAATAAAATCAGTAAAGAATGATATGTGTGTGTGTATACAAAGACAAAGACACTGACATGTGAGGAGCTCTTATTAAATTTGAGTCTCTTTAGCCGTCTCTTCTCTGTTTGGTGCTGCTTTAGCAAAGGAAGCCGCTGAGCCAGGCCCGTCAGCTCCAATGACACGGGTGGGGGGGGGGGGGGAACTGGCGGGGGGCTGGGGGAAAGGGGCCCGGTCAGGTTTGATGAGCAACAAGCAGCCGCAGACGGACCTCCGATGTATCAATTATTCTCCATTTACTTGTCATAAACAAAATCGATGCTTCTTGAAAAACAGAATCGGAGTGTGTGGGAAAAGGTTTTCTGGCTTTAGAGTGAGGCACCCGCTTTGGGCCCGGTGAGGCAGCCTTTTCTGTTTGTTAAAAGCCACTGTTAAAAGCCGCTCGTGCATATTTTCTGTAACGTTTAACCCCCAAAAGGAAAATAGTTCCTAAGCAACTGGATCTGCAGATACGGTATTTTCATTCTATTTATTTTTTATGTTTTCTTGTTTTCTTTTCTTCTAACACAAGCGGAAGATTAGCATAGACACTTTCCAGACTTCTACCTTCCAGATGAAGAGAGAGTTCTGAGAAAGGCTAATTCTCATTAGGCGCCTTGTGACAGAGGAGCATGGGCCTGAAAAGCCGTCAGTCATCCTAAATTGCCTTCGCAGAGTCTTGATTGAGGATATAAACCAACACCGGCTCGGATTACTCACTTTCGCTAATTGGTAGAATGGCTCTTCCGCCCCTTTCCGGCTTTATAAGTCTTAATGATGTGAATTCAGGACGTCGAGAGCATACGGCATGCATGTAAACGCTCTCTAACAACAAAAAGAGCTGATTTCTCTTCAGTCCTTAAACGTCTTTTATTTTTTGGGATGCATAACCCGACAACGACAGGCCGATGCCGTCGCAGGTGTGTGTCAAAAACCAGACCCAAGCAGGTCTGGAAACCTCAGAGAACACGGCACCGGCTTGTTATCAGTGGCAGCAGCCGTGAGTCGGGATTCAGAGAAGGAGGAATGGCCCAGATAGCTCTGACAGTGGTCATATTTTATTCATGACCATATGACACAGGTCCCTGTTGCATTAGGAGCCTCCTGTCTCCGCTTTAGTCAAAGCAGCCCATTCGCACCGTGCATCACAACAAGTGCACTCTGGATTCCTGAGTGAAAATGATTACTTTCTTATTTAATCCTATTATCACGTAGAAGTGAGCTTGCCTTTAAGAGGTGGAACAATAAATGTATAGATTTTTGAGCCCGAACAGTTTTAGGCAGCTGGGTTCTCTAAGAGAGAGGGAGGGGGAACTAAGGGTGAAAAATTCAAACATAAAAATCAAAGGAAACTAATTACATGTACTCGAGTATAGAACTGTAAAGCAACAATTAAGAAGCTGTGCGTTGCTATATATCTTTAACCAAATAAGGATCTAGATATGGACGAATTTAGACCAGACAGAGTGGAGTAAATTTACTGGTTAATTTCACAAAAACAAGGTTTTGACATACACTCTGTGTGGTGCTTATGACATAATCGACATAAAGGTTCAATCTTATCATAACTATCAATATGGAGCAAAAAAATTGTTTTATTTAATTGATTCGAACATCCTTTCCATTTTTCAGGGAGTAAAACTTTATGGTTGCTTACTCTTTAACGGTTGTCTCTATAAGTGTGGAAAATTATTTTAAATCACTGTAAAGCTGTGTTAAAAAAATCTGGGACTGACGGCTGGAAATAACTCAGAACACCATAGAGCGGGAGAAAAAGCTGTTTTTCAAATCTGTCAAACTTTGGAAAGTGGCTGATTTTCATTGTTCAAAACTGTGAAGTAAAAAACTTACAATCAATCAATTTACAATCATCACAGCTTTTTTAAATATATAATCTGAAATGAAATCGAATGAAATCTACAAAGCTCTCCACAGTAAAATATGTCATGGCACTTTGTTAGAAGCCCACTGAAAGTAACAAGCAATTTTTATCTATATACCACGATTCACAGGTTTAAAGCTGTGAAAATGACAAAATGAAAATGTCAAATAAGCAGCACATCAGAAGTTGGAACAAACAGACGTTAAAAGATAAGCATGTCTTTTTAAATAGAAACAATTGGGGGGCCTTTTTTAAAAGATTCAGCAGAATCGAGGAAGCATACAGAAGCAGCGGATAGCGTTCCTCAGCTGCTAGATGAGACACTATTTTCCACAGTAGTGTCAAAACATGCTGTGAGGAGGAAGATGAGTCACTGTACTCCGTCACCCTATCGGACACGTCTGTTGCCATACTGCTTAAAACACATCTTTGGTTTTGGTATCCTAAGTTTTTTTTTTCTTGGCACTTTAGGCCTAAAGTACCAAAACACAAGTGGCTCAATCACCACATCCGGCTCATTCCTAATTGGTCAGAACCCCTAATAACACCTATTGTCCAGCTGATTTACAAACAGTTTTTTCCCTGAACACCTCAACAAAGGTCAGAAGTCATCATTTCTGTGATAGTCAACATTGTGAATGCCTGATACATGAACCAACACCACTGGCCAGTCCTCCGTCTTTCTGTTTGGACCGTATGTGTAACGGAAAACCCCCAACCTGTGGGGGTTCAATTTTAAAAATCATACACAAGTGCTTAAATATGTTAGCCTCCCGCATAGAGGCTTTTATGGAAAAAAATGATCTTATTAAACCAACAGTTTATCTTAAGGTGGGCTTATTTTAGGAGTAAAACTACCATTTTAAAAACACCTGTGGTGGAATCGCGATGCGTGTCCGAGGACTGTGGAGGGGTTTGTTTTTTTTGGGGAGTTTCAGTCTGCTGAAGAGGCTGGGACAAGTGGAGAGCCCCGGGGAGTGGCTGCTGCGGACTGCTGCACCAAGAAACGCAGGAAGGAAAAGCTACTAAAGAAAATAAATAAATAAAAAACCCCTGAAACTCTCAGACAAGGGAACACAACCGTCACCCACGCTGCTCTGTTGCCATGGAGATGCCACGACACAAGCGCTAATTCAGTTGAACTTTAAGAGAAGTCTGGTTAAAAAATTTAAAATAAATAAATAGGAGCAGCAGTTTAAATATCAATTGTTTCCAGAAAGGTTATCAGACGGGCTTGTTGGGAAACACGCGGCGGGAACCGAGGGTGTGTTAGGACTCTCGAGTCCAGAGAAGACACGTTAGAGGTTTTTCCAAGCCCTCCAGAGGCCAGATGCGCCGCGCCATGGCAACAACAGCGACGTCTTAACGAGGCGGAACGGTGACCGTGATGCCTGAAGTTCTGAACCCGTTTCTCTTGGATCCCTCGGCTCCGTCACAGCGCCCCTGTCCTTTTCACGTTGGCTCTGATCTTTTCTGGAGGAGGATCCACTACCCCGGGCTCGTGCCTGGGTGGAGCCCTCGGCTAATTTTAGACGGCCTCTCTCATCTGGCGGCCACACAGACCACAGACGTGCATGGAGCCAGCGGGCCCGTGTTCCTGGACTGTCTTTGAGGCCACATCTCCAGTCGGAGATGAGTAGGACAGGTGTGTCCTGCACGGAAGAAGTGTTCCGATCAACAGATTCTGTACTTTCAACGAGGAAAATCTTGCCTGTTTCTGTCATCAGAGGCAACATGAGAACTGTCCCCAGGAGGCTGAATGATGGATCAGGTTTACTTTGTTGTGGGGAGGAGATTGTAGATGGCTTTTGGAAGGAATTTGTTTAGTTTTTAATGAATATCTCATAAAGATTACTACTTTGAACTGCCAAGTTTTCAGGATCAAGGAGGATTTGAGGTCCATTTTGTCTCAAAGGTTTATCTGGTGAAAGATTCCGGCCTTTATAGGACGTCTTAAATCTCTCTGATCAGATACTTTAAGACGGGGCCATGAGCAGGGACGCACAGATATTTCAGCCTAACAGTGCTATCAGATGACACGGAGCACATGGACTGTTAACAGCCTGCGTTTATCTGGTCTCATCTGGTTTTGTCACACTAACTTTGCCCGGAAAGGATTGTAAAAGGTTTTTGAAAGAAAAAAGAAATGGTCATGTTTTTTGGGTTAATTGAGAAATTTTGGGTTAATTGAGAAAAGACCAAATAAAATAACTACTGGCAAACATCCAAAACTTTATTTATAACACTTGGATGAAATTCTTATTTCATCCAAGAGGGATAAGCCCTTTATAATCAAGTAGAGACATGTTTTTTGTCTCACCTAAAGGAAAAAGAAGGGAGAGATTTTTCTTCATAATAAAGTAAAAACATGGCCATATCTAAAGAAAGATCTATGTACTGGTATGACAAGCTGAACCGGCCAGAGGGTCACAAAAAGATTCAATGAAAACTTGTAGATCTGAGTCTATTCAAGTTTCACCAGTTTTGATTCATCGGACCTCACGAGTGTCTGATGCATTGAGAGATAAAATTCCTGTGAGACAGTTCCTCTTTCATTGCTGAATGCGATCAGTCACTTCACATCATTAATTGTATCCACAGAAGTTCAGGATTCCCGTCAACTTAGTTTGTCTGGCCGTGCTTATTAGTCACCCTTGTATTTCAACAGAAACAGTGAAGAGGCACAAATAAAAGCAATGCTAACCTGACACATTTTATAAACTAGCCGAAGGATGGTGGTAGTTCTAGTTGCTGGTGGTTTTAATCCAGAAGAAGTGGCTGGAATCAAACCTCAGCAGCTTTAGAAACCAAAAGGTTGTGTCATTTTCCAGGTCTGTCACAATGGTTAAAGTTGATGATTTCACTCAAGTCTTCATCACAAGAAGCATTAAAAGAAACAAAGACATAAGTGTTTCATGAGATCTTTTTTACAATCCCTCATTTCTGGCTCACCGGCAGTGCTGATGCATACTCTCAAGCCCAATAGGTGGCAGTAATGTGTCTAAAGTTCATTTGCCAGTCAAGAAACAAACAAAGAAGTTGGACCCAGTGGTAAGAGGACTAAACCACATCACTGAGCATGTTTGGTAGAATGTTCTGTTTAAAAAAGGTTCTGTTTAAAAAAAAGATGGCAGCTAAATTCACGTGTATCTTTAGTAACTGATTCCAACAGTATGTATTAATTGAAATAAAAACGAAGCTTTTTTTTTTCAATCAAATGGCGGCTTTTGATAGAAATGCGATTATTCGAGATAAATTACAAAGTCTATCATTGATAAAACAAATTTTTTAAAATCACCTCCCACTTCTAGCATCAACATTGTTTGTAGTCGAGAAAATGCAATTATTTTCAAAAAGCTTTACAGCTTTTATTCACCTTTTCTGAATCCCGTATTCTTCATGAGTCTGGGCGGTTTAGTGGCCCTTAGTTGACATGCAAATGTCTGGAAAAGTTTCTGTAACATATAAAAAATGGGATCTAATATCGCAGTTCCAACTACAGGTGACATTTTGGGGACTCCAAGCTGTGTAAACTGCCATAGATTTGCAATTCCCGTCCCTCCTTTGCATAATGGGAGGTCAATGTGCACATGGAGAAATAGTCAAAGGAAATAAACTGTCAATTCTGTAAAACATCTTAAAGAAGGTCCCTCAGCTACATAGAGATTAAGTCCCGAGTTTCAGACTATTGGAGAAAACTCAAGCTACTTTCTGAAACTGTCCCCACGGCTTTTAAGAATCTGAATGTTCTTCTAAGGGCCTTTTTTTATCACTGTCTGGGCAATTTTAATTCCTCCCTTTATTACATTGTCAAGTCCAAAGCAGACAAAAGTTGCAAAGTCAAGATATTAGTACCATCAGTCAGGTTTTACTATTGGGTCATTTGGGAATAGTTAAAGTAGGCAAAGCTGCAGTGTCTGCAAACCCGGTGGTTGTGAGTGTCGATGGGCCTTTTAACCCTTGAAAATATCAACTACATGACACAAAATAAAGCTCTGCTTTTTGTAGCTTTGCATGAAAAGTGACAAATCGGACAAGAAAATGTTTGTCATTTAATAGATAAATAAAAAATTGAAGTATTCAGGTGGATCTTTGATGTCAAAAGCTAAAACGTAGCCGTCTTGTTTTCGGCCATTTAGAATTCTCTTTACACCATCATGTGGGTGGAGAAAAGAGTGGATCGGTGAAAACTGTCAAAGCAACATCTCTATGAACTCCAGGTGGAGTTCCCCCGCTTTAGATTGGGTAGACTGAATTTTAATGTGGAGCTTTACCAGGCGTCCCAACTCAACTCGGCTTCATCTCACCGTTGCTCGCTGTGTTGACGTAATATCGCCGTCCCTGTGGTGACATGTAGCATTTCCAGTGGGGGGGGAGGGGGTCTCTGAGGTCCTCCACGGGAAGCTGACTCAGAGACGCTGTCCTCTGCAGAAAGAGAGCGGCGACACGTGTTAGCAATCATGACAAAGACGCATCAGCATGTACGCACACGGATCTATTCCCCCGAGCCTCCGTTACGGCGCGAGGAACTGCAGAGGGGGACGACAGGCCGTGGGGGGTAGATCTAGAGGCTCAAATGAGCTGTGACCGATTCTCATTTGCTCCCCGGCGATGTCGCACAACCGAAAAACAAGCAACCGGCAGGGCCGTGCACGCCGCGCTGAGAGCCGGAGCCCCGGAGTCAGCATGTGTGCACACAACCACCAGCTGCAGCAAACTGCACACATCTGCTGCTGATTAGCAGGAAAACAATGGGCTGGAGCGGGGAACACATTGTTTGGAGACCCTGGGAACACCAGATGAAATTCCACCTTCAACTGACAACAGCCCTTTAACCGGGGGCATAGTGAAGCCTGCAAGGATGAGGTTAGCTAGTGCCAGTTTTTTAGTGCAACACCATCAACTGGCCCTTTGCTAATTGATATCTCTAAACAATAAAAGCCTGGATCAGAAGGAATCTTTTGGGAAAAGCCAAATAACTCTGGCCTTGCAGAGTAGCAGAAATGGATTCAACAGTGTGGGATTCAAGCAGCTGCCTGGCTTTTCAATGGCGGATTTGTACTGTGTGGAAACCAGCAGTGCATGTGCTTTCTAGCATTTCCTCACAGTGTAAAATTGAAAATAGAAAAAGGGAAGTGTGAGAGAAATGTGAGAGAACAGCATAGATTCGGTATTTGTTGCATTTCCTCTTGTAATCTTTTGTGAAATAAGCTAACTTTAGTTATCCAAAAGGGTTCCACTCTTTTGTTTGGGCTGACTTTAGCAACAGTGGGGAGCCTGCACACTTTACTCTTTGCTGCCTTCCAAATGCTGCTGGCAGAAGTGCTGTTGTGTATCTGCACTTTATGAGTTATGGGTCTTCAGATATAACACAACATATGTCTTATATACAGTCAATTTATGTTAGAAGAGGAGGTCTTCGTCTTTCTACAACCAAGATGAAAACTTAACATCATCATCCTTTTGGGGCTTTCTTGGCAGTAAAAGTTCTGAGGTCTCTTGGCCTTTGGCAACCAATCCTCTTACTAAGGGCCAAATGAGAGAATCAATAGTGACATTTTTCTGGTATCGATGGTGTGCACAATTCTAAAAATGTAGTAACGCTGCCCCCAAAGAAACACAGTCAAAAGTGGTCTGAGGACCTGTGTATCTCAACATTAGTTATTTTACCATCAAATTAATGATTTTAATCTCGAAGAAGACATTTGACTAAACAAAAATGGTCTGAGACTGACTTTTTAGATCAACTAAGCTAATGGAAGTTTAGCTATACCTGATCAAATACAAACACAATGGCCATTTTAGCCAACTGAATCAAAGTGTAATGGTTTTATGTGAAATCCTATTCAAAGTCAAAGTCTGTCTATTTAGGTCGGGATGAATTATTGACCTTTGTAGAGTCAAATGCTAAAGTGCCACCATCACTGGTGCAAATTTGCTGGTGAATCATTCATCATACTAGAAAAGGGTAAAACAAAATAAATTCCATAGGTGTTTAGAAATAAAAAAAAGCACCTTTTTTTCTTGCTGTTGATCAACCAGAAGGTTGTGATTTAATTTCTGGTTAATTGAAATCAGAGAGAGAAAAGAATGGGACAAGGAAACCTGACACCTGTGAAACTGACTGTTTTTGGACGGCCATGAAACAACAACTTCTTCATTATCTATACATTTTATGTTTACAAAAGTGTATTTAAGCACAAACGGTCCCATTTCAGACAGAGGAGTCACTGCCATTGATGCTGTTGCTGGAAGGAAATCGTGAATGTAGAATAGGATAAATAAATTAAAAAAGCTATCTCCATTCATGGCAGTGACATAGGACCGGAAAGTAAAGAAACAAAGAGGAAAAGTGAGGAGAAAAAAGGTCACCATCACCACCACATACAGGATACAGTTGCAGTAGAACGGAGTGCAGCCGTACATGGCTGTCACCTCTCAGGCAGGATGCCCTTCACTTGTTTCACACATTTTCTAAATCAAACAACTCACTTCTGCACACTCGGTTTCACGGCTTAAGGTGAAAAAAAATACAAACAACACCCTGAGACCGATTCCCCTATTTCCAAAGGGTATAATTGGACATTCCATTAGGGTTGACTTAATGGTACGAGAGGCCAGAATAACAGATTGAACTAATTGCAGAGCAGGTAATAAAAACATGGTGTAAAGTCTTTGTGTGGTCAAACTTTGTAGGACTTCACCCAGAGGAAACACTGTCCTCCCGTAAAAACATGGCCAGTCTGGCAGAATGCTGCCCCTCTGAGCTACCGATAAGACATGTCGATGGATTTAATCTTTTCGAGCCCGCTTCTAGACTTTTAACATCTCTTTGGAGACCACAAGTTGGTACACGTGATTACCTCACTGCACTTTAAATCCACTAAGCCCACTATCAGCTTTTTTCCAAAACAAAACTACAGCCATCGTGACTGATTGGAAGCCACACTGGTTAGTCTTTACATCTTATTGCTCCACTGACTAAAAGATAAGTCCGCTCAACATAAAAAAAAACAGGTTTTTAAGACTATTTAAGACTTAAGGAACTGATCCTTTGGGCCATGTGGGTTGTGGGGTAAAGTCTATGAGGGCTTGGCAAACCCTCCACAGATATCAGATCACATAATTTGGGGACTTAGCACACAGTTTTTTAAAAACCCCTAGCATTGCTTTCAGGAACAGGACATTCCAGACAAGCACCTTATTTTTTCCTGATCACTCCCAAGACGTGCTGCACTTCTAACACAAATGAAATCGCACTTCCCAAAAAGCTTATTTTCCCTTTTCTACGCCTCTGCTGGCCACCTATAAATTCCAGCTTCCAACTTAAAGACGCCGAGCTCCTCTCGACTTTGGTCCGTTTAGGCTGTTTGACATAGCCAATGAGGTGCTGACAGCAAAGTGGCCCAAAGGTCCGGTGATGTCATTTTGATGGGACACAGTGAAGAACATCACTTCATAGCCACTTTTGACTGTGTCTGTACAAATGTAACCAATTAACCCGTCGATGATCCCAGAAATAATCAAATCCCACATTCACTCATGGTGAGGGAGTTGATTCATGACTCGTCCAGTCATGACTTTCTGACCACTCAGCTGCTTGCAGTCTGTGGTCAGTCAGACTGAACTCCTGTCGAGTCGAAGCCAAGTAGGTGCTGAAATTAGTGAGATGAGACGGAGACATATTTCCAGCCTTATTGCTCAGCGATAACACTTACATGGAGGGAGAATGAACTGTAAACCTCTTTATGGACACTAATAAGAAGGTCTCTTTTTGCCTTTTCTAGTCTAACAGTACTGAAAAAAGACAGGTCAATTCATTACATCTGTTAGAAAACGACTCTAAAAGCTAAATTTAGAAAAAAAAAAATTACTCCTTCAACATCAATGACAACAGTCTCAGTCCAAATAATCCTATAGGATGATCCTACAGTGGAGCCTGTTTGAGACCTCAAGAGAAGGCACTTGAAAAGTTATTTGCAGGTCTGTTTGATCACATTTGTCATCTTTGAAATGATACTGCAATATTGGCGTTCAAAGACAGATGGGAGTGGGCAGCATGAGCTCAAATATGGGGATGACATATATCTTGGAAGCAAAAACTGCCCAGTTTTAATAAATATAAATCAAATGCTCCATATCTATGTGTCTATTGTGTACCCGTCTGGCTCTGAAACCATCAACATGGAGCCATAGGGGCCCCCCGGGATGAAATCTATCTCAGGGACTCAGGGAATGGGACGATGGGGGCACCTTGTGGTTCGATTCTGGAGCCGGCTTGGCCCGGCATATGCCCGTTTAAATAATGCAACGGTTCCAGACGGTCCGCCCCCTCCACCACAAAATGCCTTTGGCTGCTCGTGCGCGGCGTGCCGGAGAGAAGAAGGGCTCATTCGAAAGTGGAGACTGGGGGGGGGTGACCACGAGAATCACCTGGGCTGTCTGTGAGGGGCACTAACACCCCCCCCAGCACCTGTATTCCAGTATGAAGGTGAGTCATAGGTGCTGTCATCTGGGGTCATAAAGATAAGGCTCAGTGTGACAGGAACCTCATTATTTCAGTGGGAGATTGTAATTAGATTTAATTAAACAAAACACCTTAACTCACCCATGACTCAAACAAGTGTCTTGCTCTTTTGATCTGATCTGTCTAAGAGGTTCCACAGTCATCAAAAAATGGCTTCCACCGCTTATTTTGGCTCAGTTTCAGCTTCATCGTTTATATTTTGGCACGCAATTCATCGTTTCTGATGACTGTACACAAAGTCAAAGAGTACAATCAAAACCAAACTCCTTTAGCTTTCCACTGCCATGAAAAAAAAACACAACCTTGCTCCTGGCTGTGAAGAGAATCCATGTTTCCTCCAAACAATCGGCAGTCCATCTGACACCATCTTTTTTGGTATTCCAAATAAGACGACTAAATCACAGCTACAGCTACATTGTGCACTAATTTCGAGATTTATTTTATCTGGATGTCAATTTTGATGTAATTATGAGTTAATAGAGAACATTGTAAGTGCTCTTTTTTTATATCTTACATAACCTCTGAATATATAATTATAAAACAGGGAGGGCCAAGTGGAGCGTTCAGCATTTTTTGTGCTAAATATGTGCTAATAATTTGTTGCTAAATCATTAAATACCACTAAATACCAACAAGAACCTTTAACATGATATTTTTTAAACAAGATTGCTTTTAGGTTTATGGTATTAATTCATATTTTTGGGACTTTTTTTTTTTATTGTAACCAAAAAAAGTATTTGTTTTGTTTTGTTCTTTTTTAAAAACTTGCTTTAAAACAGTAAATAAAGTTATCTGCTGTCAAAAGTCGGCAGTAGTTTAAAATTATCCACTTTGGTCTCTTTTCACCCCAAAAAGACCAATAAGGACAAACCCAGTCCACAGATTGATGTGTGATTCA